TAAAAGAACGAACTATTTCTGAGGAGAATTTTTTTTTTTATCGCGAGGTTTTCATTAATTTTGATTTTATTTTTTGATTTCACCTTTACCCCCCATACGCTTGGATAAACATGAATACATTCAATTATGATGCGGTGCCCTCGGAAAACTATTTTTGAATTATTCCTCGTTGCCATCCAAAAACATTGATTAGGTTTGCCCGCAAACACACCTACGTGCGTATAGTCACACCCACATTATGATCTCATTTTTTCATTCTTCTAACCACCCTATACGCGGTRGCACATCACCACCCACACTGCAGCACAYCCATTTCACGTGTTTGATTTTGATGTGTTCACAGGCACTAGCGGCATTCTGCGCGTGCGGCGCCCTGGCCGCACCGGCCGGTCAGCAGCACACGATCGTACCGATTCTAAAACAGGTGAACCGACAGAACGAGGACGGTTCGTACAGTTACGGTTACGAGAACGCTGACGGAACATACAAGATCGAGACCAAGTACCCGTCGGGCGAGGTGTACGGCAAGTACGGTTACGTGGACGAGAGTGGCAAACTGAGGACGGTCGAGTACGGCGCGTCAGCTCGCGGCTTCGAGCCTGTTGGCACCGACATCACTGTTCCTCCACCTGTTCTCGGTGTGGACACCAACGACCTGCACAGGGAACAGTCTTCGAGGTCGCAGGACGACTACGATGACGGACAGTACCGCGAGGACCCGAGCATATACTACAAGACGTCATCGTCTTCTTCGTCGTCGTCGTCGTCAGACAACCATCACCAGCAGCAACTGAACCACCACCAGCAGCAACTCCAGCACCACCAGCAGCTTCAGCAACAGCAATTGCGATCGCTGCAACAGCAGGCACCCGTAGCCGCCAGACAACAGCAGTGGTTCTCCGCGGGCCCGCAACAGAAGATCAGGCCCGACCTCGACCAGTTCCAATCTCATCCTGCGGTGCACAACTTCGACCCCGCGTCCGGATCGTTCTCCATCTCGTACACGGGRAAGTGACCGATAACGTCAAATAGAGTATCATAATCATTTGTACTCATTTTTACTATTATTAATTTTTGTACGATTTTTTYCCTTTGCTATTATAATATTGTATTGTAAGTTTTWTCTTTTATAAATCAATAAAAAAAATCTCTGTTTTCTTATTTGCGAGCTTCATATTTTATTATACTTGCAGTGTGCCCGATCGTCTTACCGTACATTACCATGGTAACTCGACGGCCATTTAGTCCGCGGTATGCRACGACCTAGGTACTATTATTGTACTACTACTACGAAATCGCGCATAATATTATACGCAACGAAATAAAAATGATTACCAAGCCGGGGTTCACGCCTGTACATAATAATATAATGTACCTGCACGTATTGTATGCGCCTGGACACGCGTAGTTAGTTCAAACAAAATGTCGGTAACGCGTCGAATAATTTTAAATTTGTTCATTCACTCTACACGCGGTGGCGTTTACCTACCCGACTTAACTATCTGCGCGCGCACAATCCTACAGCTCAGACACATCCACATTGCGCTCGCTGGCTCGACCAGGAACTGATGCGGGCGCGCGCATTAAAGGCGTAGTCGATTTTCGATCCGTTTAGTCGTTTGCCTTGGTAAGCCTTGTTCGGCGAATTAAGCATATCGATATCAATAGAACAAAATATGCAAAAAACCAAATAAATAAATATCTTTAATCACATCATGAACCGAATGCCATTTTCCCCAGGGCGTGTTTCGGCATTGAAACKAAAGCGCGGACAACACCCATCTCCTTGACATTCGCCTCGAACGATTTAAAACTCCATCTGGCATATTATGCTATATTATTATTATCATATCATCATCATCATCATCATCATTATTAAATATATATATTTTTTTTTTAATCGATTGGATTTCAAGCGGCATTCATACAATATTATAATTGTGTTTTAATTGAATTTTCGCGTTAAACGTTATACATATAGGTAGTCGTTCTCGGAGAAGACGATAAAAACTCGTTTGGTTGKGGGGTTGCATCGGTGAAAGGCGAAAAACAAAAAATCACCACATTAACTACATTATTATGCGACGACGTCCGTCGTCGGCCTTGGCGTYACCCTTTCGTTACCATGGAGGGGTTTTACGATTTTAAGGCCTTTTAAGTGCAGACAAAATATTTATTCGTCAGTTTATTGTCTGAGAACAACCAGAACCATGATGCTAGTCAGATCAGCGGTAAGTACCATATTATGTAAATATTATACTTCACAGTGTACTGCAAATGCCGAGTAACATTAAATCGATTTATAACTACTTRTTTTATTCACACATATACCTGCACGTGATATTGATTTTAATATTTTTTACAGTATGAAACGACATAATTGTATTATCTAAATTTAATAATATTACAAAGGTAGTCCATACGTGACGTATACCCACAAATCGTCGTTTCGTTTATTATTTTCGACGGTTCGTAACGGATCACAAAGAAAAAACAACTAATCCCATTTATATTGTATTTTTGAAATTTTTATATATAGGTAGGTATTGTTTGCGAAGTTTTTTTCCACATTCGCTTCAGCGGCACCGGTGTGCCATCGATGCACGTTTTACTGATATTTCAGTTTGTGCTCATACTTTTGATCTTTACGTGTATGCGTGTTTGTGTGTGTACTATGATGGATTCAAATCGGGAAAAAGAAAAGCCRCGACCACCTAAACGTATATATAGCGGCACGTGATTATAAACAAAATCGTGAGACAGAATAAACCTATCAATCATCAAATAAAAATCTAACAATTTCGTGAGCGTTACTGGAAAACTCGGAAAAGTCATCGTTATATCGATGGTGATTACTGTATTATAATATATTAATATGTTACAGTAGATAGGTAGGCACTAATGCTTTTCCGACACGCGTCTCGAGATCGAATTTGACAAAAAAAAAAATATTTCGTCCTAAGGCCCTGGTCGTGGGTTATCTACCTCGGTAGTCATTGTTTTGAAAATCCCAGCGGTGTGTGACCTCGCCATCATCCAATTCTCACGATCAGACAATTGTGAAATTAATCAACARGTGTGTGGACGCGCACGGGAGGTCCGATCTGGCGCCTGTCAACGGCTGCAGTCGCCGTATTATGATAATATTATTATAATAATGATAATATAATATAGATGCACATCGCATCCTTTTGTATAGGAAATAATGAACGCGCACTTGCTATAGTATTTTTTTATTTTTTTTTTTAAACTAATTTTTTTCTCGACTTGCAGATTGTTGTGCTGTTGGGCTTATGCACATGCTACGGCCAAAATGCCGAAGACTACAACGAGAGTAATAACTACAAATCAGCGGTAGTGTCGGCGCGAAAAAATCAAGACGTATCTATACTCAAACAAATCCACAGGTAATCGCGTGTGCTTAACATGATTTTATTAAAATATACAAATTAGCGATTACGGGTGTGATGTTTTTTTTTTTTTTTTTTTAATTACGTACAGGGAAATAAGATATAATTCAAATTTAAACGTGCGACGATGCGTAATTTTTATTATTCGTATTATTGCGTAATAATATATATTGTATATTATATATGTCAATGAAAATAATAATATTTTGAATTAACACACACAATATATTACATAGGCATATAAGAACTCGTTTCCCGCGTAGCTTACGTAGATATTTCACTTGGTGTGAAATAAGATGAATAATTATAATTTAACGTTTTTCAACGATTTTTCTCTTCTAACAATCAGATTTTTTCATACATAAATTTTATTCGTTCGGTATTCCGAGGAAAAAGAATTATATAACAATAATTGGTTTTATATACTGTGTAAATGAGCAAAGTTGCGTTTTAATTGTTAAAAACTGAATTTAAAAAAAAACTACGAACGAGATGTCTATTCGACTGTAAAATGATATATTTTTTAGTAGTTACGATAAAATAACTGTCTACTTTTGTAAATGTTTTTAAATACAATTTTATTACTTGGATTTAAATTATATATAAAACTATCTACCTATATCATAGGCTATATGTGTCTGTTTTGACAGAAAACTAGGGCGTTGTAATAAATATATTCGTATTTTTCATTATAATTTCTACAAATATGATAAGTATAGTTTATAATTTATAAAGTAAAAGGTTTTAAAATCTTTAACATACTGYCTATGGATTACATAAATTAATATAATTTTTAACCTTGTATTTAATTTAATGGTGCAGTATACAATTTTTATAACTCTACAAGGTGATAACTTATTACTACCTACCTTCTACTTGCATGCATCGTTATTTATTTCACTTAAACACTCTAATCACTATTTAAAACATGACATTTGTTATATGACGTTCATTATACAAAGTAATTGGCTTACTTATTTATTACATAATAATTAGTTTAACTTTCCTAAGTTTTCTAAACGAAGCAGAAATCGTGAGTTTTCGTTTACGGCAATAGTAATATTCATGACTTGTTTTGTTTTGGATAAGTAACGAAGAAGACAACTTCGTCGCCTATTAAAGTGCATTTATTATCATGAAATAATTATTTTTTTTTTTTAAATAACACCATTCATTATCAGTTTATCACATAACGGAAAAATTTTCAGATCTCAACTTTTTTTTGTTCATCGAGGTCAAGTTTCTGGAAACATTATGCATGAATCAATTCTCATAATGTAAATAGTATCAAATAATTCAAATATTATGGTCAATTACGTTTTGTTAAAATCTAAATTACTAAATATGCAATATCCAGATATTTATATTCTGAAGATWCCATATTTTCCCATATTTTTTAGTTTACAATATTATGTATTAAACAAAAGTAAATAAATAAATAAAAGCCGAATTTATAGAGCACACAACAATTAGAGAAAAATAAAGCAAATCACCGAAAACCAAAYTATTTTTGCTCGTTATCATTATAAAAATACTACCATCATTCCTTGACGTTATAACCGAGGTTAAATGCACCGCAAATCGCAATAATAATCTGTTTATTCACAGTGCTTGTTGTGTCGTTAAAATAATAATATTTTTATTGCGTTAATACATTTTTCTTCTCGAGATTAACCATAATATTATCATAAATTACACCACGTCCTCCTTACAGGACGATGACGTAATACGTATTATTATTATTTTGTTAATATTTCAAAGTATAAATAAGTACCTACATATTTATATAAAACCGTTGGCAACTAATTTTCGATTTTCATCTGAGACTTCACGTCAATACGATCGTTATAGACGCCGACGTTAAGTCTYACGATCCAAATAGCAATGACCTATTGGATATTATTATCGTCCAAAACCGTCACTGTATAGACACACTCGATAGGTACCCGCGAAATTGCGCAACGCAAAAACGGATCACATACGTCCACATAATACACGAAACGATTTAAAACGTTTCCTGTACGGAAATGATAACCCAGCTGGGAATCCCAGAACAATGCGATTTTTATGTAAAAGTTATGGGACGAGTGGCGGCGACGGTCGTAGACAAAGTTTCACCGCACACACGCAAATACTGCTACAAACACGCAATAACAATATATAATAATACAATGATAAATAATAATGATGATTATACAACAAATTAATTATTATGTCGTGTGTTTTTCTGTCTAATTTTATGATCACCGCGAGATCTACTCACCAGAATAAAATAATTAAACTATGGATACTATAATCTAGAGCTAGCTATTATGTTAGTATTTGTTTTTGGTTCAAGCGTAAATTTAAAAATATTAATTAGAGGCTAACATCACACGTACCTACAGCATCATGATAATTTGCCTAAATATATTTAGGACGAGACGGGTATTAAGTGCAGTTGTGGATAAAACGTGAAAAATCTCACTTTGAATGCTTATAAAAAAAAATTTGACTCATGATTCACCGCAAACCTTAACAACAACCAATGATTTTGTTTATTTGATTACGCTTGCAGACA